GCTTACTGCAACAGGCCTACCTATACAATTTTGCTTTCAGACCAAATAGTGAGGATATAAAAGAAAGTCCTATTAATATTATCATTTTAAAGTCCTAAAGCCAGAAGCAAAACGAAAAAAAATTGATGATTTGTGCTTGCTTAGATTTTATTTCAAATTGTTGCTCTTGTGATGCCATTGCTTATAAAACATGCTGGCTTCAAACTTGCAGTGAAGTAGTTTGGTATAAAAACATCTAAGATGTTTTTAAGACTAAAACATTCCAGCTCAGGCAGAGACTTTACTGACTTAAAACTTTACTGACTTTAAAATAATGTTTTAAGTGTTTAATTTCATAAATCCATTGGTCAGACTGTGGTTACATTAAGATTTTTACTTTACAAAAAAGTCCTCTAGATTTTGAGCCTGAAAAAGATCTAGAATCCAAATGTGTTGTTTTTAGTCCTTGTGTTTCTGTATATGTTTTGTTGTCATGTACCGATAAATTGACAGCAATTTCCTTAATTTTGGGAGATCGCCGATTGGCCGATGCTCCCATGAGAAACCAATCTTATCTTCCTCAGGGTAGCTCTAAAAACCAGTGATTGGCCAGGAAACTGTAATCAATCCACTGCTAGTTTTAATTTAACCTTCAGACTTTACTTTTATTCTATTGCCTTGTTACTTGTGCTTTGGCGTTCACTGTAATCATTTTTAAAATTTAAATGTACTGGTTTTTGTTACTAATATCTGCCATTTTTTATCAAGAAGATAAAGCTTTAATTAGTGGTTTTGATTGGTTGTTTGTTTCTGTTGAACGCAGCACTACTTCCTGGTCATTTTTGGTCATGAAGGTCAGAAACCTCTGGAGCTGCGGTCAGAGGACGAGTCGGACTGCAACGAGTGGGTGGAGTGCATCCAGCAGGCCAGGTACAAACAGACACGTTTCAGTCACGTTTTTTTGTTGTTCATTTTCAGGTTAGAGGGAAAAATCTTCAGTATTGGACTTATGTCCCTCATTATTCATTTTACCATTTTCAGAGTCTAAGATAGGAAAATTATTACAAGGTCAGTTTCATGCTAAATTTCTAATAAATGTAGATGTCTGTGTAGGATATAGTCAAAGCAAGCAGCAATGTTAAGGTCACATTGTGGTTTTAAGAAAATAATTAGTCCACACAGAATGATTATCACAAAACGTACAGGAATATGTTCGTGGTGGGATATAAAGCCATTTTGCTTCTAAATCAGAAAAATATTTTCAGTCAGTAATGACTCAGTTCAGGACTTCTCAGAAAAATAGCCGCTGTGCCGCTGCAAACCATGTCACCGTCTGAATCTGAATGTGTGTGTTGTGAGATTAATGACTGAGCGCTCACACAGAACATCAAATACCACAAGATCATGACCAGCATTTAAGGAGATTTAAACCGGCGGCACAGTTGATCTGTCGTGCACAATTGCACAGACGAGATGGGAGGTTTTCTAGCCTGAGTAGATCTTCTTAATGCAGAGTGATCAGCAGTCAGTTTCGCCTTACAATGCGGTGTTTTCTGACCCTGATCCAGGGGGAAAACTGTTGCCTTGCTTCAGCAATCCCTCACAGCTGTTAGTTTTGACCAAAAAAAATGAATAAACAGCAGTGCAGCATTGACGTCAGCACCACACATAAAGTCTGTCAGGAGAATCCGAGTACCTTTTTTTTTAAAATAATAACAGTGGACCCATCCTATTGTTTGCTAAGGAAATACAGCAGGTTTTAATAATACATATTATATCTACTGAGACCTCTATCGAATGATTTCTGATTCTTATTTACTCTTGGAAATCCTGTTGCTGACTGGGCACTAATTTGTACATCATTAATCCATAACTTTTTAAAAGTTGCTGTATGCAACTTCTACAAAAAATATGTTTTTTAACATATGTTTTTAAAACTGTCACCATGTTGTGACAATACAATATGAAACAGATAATTTGTGAAAAGATCGATCTCATCCACCACCAGCCAGAGCTATTATTGCCGTCTGACAAAATGCAGCATTCCCGATCAAAAACAACCAATCAGAGCCAGGAGGAGGGTCTTAGCGCTGTCAGTCAGGCTCGTGTGTCGCAGTCAGAGTGAAGTGAAATTTTACAGAGAAAAATAGGCAACCATTTCAGCTTAAGTGTGTAAAGCTGGAAGAGACATGCACTGAAAGACTAAATTGGAGCAAAAGATAAAAGGTCAGGCTCAGTACAAAACACACACTTTTCAGATAATGATTTTAAAAATCTGCTGAGAAATAGATGAGCAGAGTAGTAAATTTGTCAAGCACCTTTTTCTCATCAGTTAAAGCCTCTAAACATTAAGCGTTCAGTTTAAAGATTCTCGTAAAATCAAACTCATCTTTGCTTCTCTTTTTTGTGGTGCTGATGAAACACACTGGACACAGCTACCACATCCAGGCGAGCGAGCGTGTCTGGGTGCTCTGTGCTCGCAGCGGTTCACATTTAGGTCACACAGCGCTGTTTTACCTCGTCGGTTACATCACACACTCGACCTCTATTTCCTCTCAGTGCTCTCCTTATGCCTCTCTTATATTTTAACGACGGCAGTGAACACCTCAGACATCCTCCACCCCCCCATTTACCTGTTAGCGCGCCCATGTTTGTTCACCAGCACATATCCGAAGCCCAACCCTTTCTACCTTCCAGCTACTCTGACATCATGATCGAGCGTGAGATCCTGATGCAGAAGTACATCCACCTGGTCCAGATCTTGGAGACGGAGAAGATCGCAGCCAATCAGCTGCGCACTCAGCTGGAGGATCAGGACACGGAGATCGAGCGGCTCAAGGCCGAGGTACGCATGAGTGCCTCCACATCTGCGTGCGCATGCATACTTAAATGCACACTCGGACGCAACCCTCAGATGGAGCACATTTAGATCAACGCGTGCAAAAGCCCCCAGGCATGATGAAGAAGACACTTCTGTTGAATTAAAGCACAGCAGGGCTCCAAGGACTCCAGAACCCATTGCTTCCCTATCTCGATGTTTATTTCTGTCCAAAGTTTCATGAATATTTGATACTTTGTACCAGCGACCTCACATAGATGCTGTTGTCGTGGTAGATTGTGGTGTTGAACAAAGCCAAGGAGAGGATGTTCCCGTTCCAGAGCAACCAAGAAGAGGAAGACCCGGACATCAAAAAGATTAAAAAGGTAAAAGCATCATCAAAGCGGCGACAACGGACGGAGAGGACGGGAGCCCACTACGGGGTTGTTGTGTGACCATGCAGGTGCAAAGCTTCATGCGTGGCTGGTTGTGCCGGAGGAAGTGGAAGATCATCGTCCAGGACTACATCTGCTCGCCTCACGCAGAGAGCATGAGGAAGAGGAACCAGATCGTGTTCAACATGGTAGAGGCAGAGACGGAGTACGTCCACCAGCTCTCCATTCTGGTCAACTGCTTCCTCAGGCCGCTGCGCATGGCCGCCAGCTCCAAGAAGCCTCCCATAAGCCACGATGACGTCAGCAGCATCTTCCTCAACAGGTAATGAATCCTCTTGCTCTGTGTGAGAGGGAAATGTACACAAAACATTTACGCTTGCAGTACCGGGTGTCAAAAAAGATCATCATACAAGTTTACAAAAGCATTCTTCCCCAACAGAACTTTTCCATGTTTTGTCCCATTGCAACTTCAACCAACTTATTGGGATTTTATGTGATACACTAACACAAAATAGTGTTAAAATGTATAAAAAAAAATAAATAAATAAAAAAAAGGAAGGTATTCTCTTTTTTTTTTTTAAATCTAACAAGTTACTGTGATACCTGTAAATAACATCCAAAGAAGCAGGTATCCTAAAAGGGGCAGTCTTAAGTAAAACAGACTTTTTTTTTACCTTTACATCATGTTATAATGTCGTTTCATCACCAAAAACATTCCTGCAGAGTTGCTTTGATTCTTTCATGGATGCTTGAAAAAATCTTTAATGTCCCATGGTAACCATTCAGTTGCAAAGTACCTGATGGGATCTAGTTCCGCCTTCGACAACACCCCAACACCCAACTCCCTCACCCCCCACTCAGCTCCTTCAAACTAGCCAGCAGCAATTAGCAAACACCTTGTGGAACGATGCATCTGCTGAGCTCTTTACAGGAGATACTTCTCAAAGATTTAAAGGTTAACGGAGGAGCCATGTTGTGATGATTTCCTGAAGGTGAAACTTCAGAAAAAGCAGGAGTTTTTAAAGAGACGCGCCCAATTTCAAGGCAATAAACTACAACATCAGAATTCTTCTAAGTAATATTTTATGTTATCATGTTATCATGTTGCCAACAGTAAGCTGTGAGTTCACTGTGTTTTTTCCAGTTGAATTTGATCAGATGGTGTTTCACTGATGGGCCGGTGTGTTAGTAACAGACACTGAAGTGGGAGGAAATGTTTCTGCCTTTTTCTTTTCTCGTTCTAATTCCCAGTGAATTTTCCCACAGATCATTTCTGACTCACAGTTTGAGGGCTTTGATTGTTGCCATTTCATCCCACAGAGGCGATCAGATGATTCACAGCTGCTCCAAAGTACCTGATTCTTTTGAAGGTGCACTGAGCAGACATCTGTGCTTTGACATGCCAGTTTTAGTTTAAGTAAAATGATTTGCCAAATTCTGCTGCTCTGTTATAGAAACCTGAACAAACAGCCTCCTGATACTGAAGATCCCATTTTTAAGTTTCTGTCACCATTTATGGACCGAAAATGAGCTAATTCTAATCTATAGATGATTTCTTTGTGTGTTTCTAGATTCCTTTGTAAATCCTTCCAGACAGCTAATTATTCAATTAAATGTTATAAATCAATGTAAAGGCATAAATATAATTTTTCTCCCGTTTTTATTTGATTTGTAAAAAATGAAATATGTAAATAGACGTGGATTATAAAAATGTTTATGCATGATAAAACATGGATTATCTTTTGCATGGCTGAAACAATTAATCCGATTAATTAATCATCAGATTAATTAATCGTGGGAAAACCTTCAAATTTTCACACTACATTCCCCTCTACTGATTCTAGGAAATCACTTTAAAAGAACATTTTAATCCACTGATTTAATGTGAAACCAGAATATCCTCTCACGGAGAGGAGCAGCAAAGCTTCGTCATCAGCCCGATTCAAGACCGCCCCGCATTCTACGTCCACGCCAAACTGTTGTGGAAATTTTCCTTTAACAAAGAGTGAGGGAAACCTGTTTCAAGGACCAGAGAAAGAATATATTCTTAATCAGTATTTATTTGAAGGCTTTACAGCGTTCAAAGTCTCTGCTCACTGAGCGCAGTCAGGAGAAAGAGCCTGGAGCAGAACACAGCTTCCACTTTTATAGAGAGAGGTTCATTCTGATCGCAGTTTGATCATCTACATGATTACAGAACAGACAGCAAACACACGTCTTCTTTCACTAGGAGTCATGAGAGATCAAGAAACAATTCAATGACTTGTTTAATTAATCGGCTTAATTGTGATTAATCTGATTAATAATTAGTTTAACTATTGATTAATTCTTAACTGGAGTATTTAGACTTTTAAAAAGGCAATTTACTGAAAGAACACAGTCAGAGCTGCAGTTAAGACAAAACTGACCAAAAATATATATATTTAGCATTAAAGGTAAAATAAATCTTATTTGTTTGTAATGTTCTCCCCAGAGCTTGTATCAGTTTTACCTTCACCAGGTAAAAATTTAGTAAAAAAAATCTATTAATCAATTAAGAAAGGGCTGAACTTTTCACACGATGTATTTTTTAGCTGCAGATTCATCCTTTGCTACAAGTGATCAAGCTTACACTAAAGTAATAGAATGTTATTGAAGTTTAAGCAATAAAGTGTCTAGTTTTCTATTTTAAAATGGAATTGAATTATTTGTTTATCTGCATGTTTTATGTATTTCTAATCTTGTATAAAATAAGTTTGAGTGGCTAAACAACAAATCTGCAGAATGTGCCAATTGACAATATAATGATTGACCAAATAATGGTTAGAATAATCAACATCGTTAAAATAATTGTTAGCTGCTGGTCTTTCGTAGAGTGCACGTCTTAAAACACAACTCACAGTGTTTGTATTTTATTTTGTCTCCTGAATAAAAAGAGAAACATCCTCAGATTAGTTCTCTGTGTGCAGTGAGACCATCATGTTTCTGCACGAGATCTTCCACCAGGGCCTGAAGGCTCGCATCGCCAACTGGCCGACGTTGGTTCTGGGTGAGTACTGAGTCATTCAGTGGTCAGACTTAAATACTTAAACCTGTAGACTGTACCAACTCTCAGATCACAGCTCCTAACATGAAAGACATCAACAAAAATGTAACCTACATCTTCATAAGTAATGCTTCTGTAATAAGAAATATAGACTATTGTCAAATTATGATGACGCAGTTTATGAGTGGATTTTGTGTTTGATGAAAGTTATTGTCTTTACAGTGTAGTTTC